TGGAGCATTTTTCCATGTGGCGGCACATTTTCAGCCTTGGATCTGGCTGAGATCCAAGGCCAGCAATAATCCGAGCTACCCCCTAGTAGTGCTTGCTTCAATTTTGAGCCCCTAAGTCTACTTTTTCAATTTTTCGTGCATGTGGCTCTCTTTTTGGGTCAAATGCACAATTTTGGCATTTTCCCTCTTTTGTTTCTTTCCATTTTGGGCTGCCACCTCATTCCGGAGCTAGCCGTTTTGAGCTGGCCCACAAAAAACGGCTAGTTCCTCTCCACCATGAGATCTGATCTCAGATCCATAGTAAAAAAAAAATCCGGCCACTTCCTTTTTGTTTTTTCTTTCATTTTCTGTTTTTTAATTCAGATTTTATTGAGATCTCTKCAATCCGGATTGCCCTCCCTTATTCTAGGAGGGATGAGGTCACAGTTGGGACCTGCCAGTCCCTACTGTGCAGAACCCAATAGGCCGACACACTCTCCTCCACTCCTTTCTCCCTTTTTGTCTTATTCTCCCTCCTTTTTCTCTCCTTTTTCTTTCTTTTTCTTTTATTTATGTTGTGCACCCTCTTTTTAGGTCGTAGGGCCTCATTCAAGGCCAGGTTCATGGCTGTTACTTGGCCGTTACATCTCGGATTCCCACAATGGCACCCCTATGCTCCTAAGGGGCTTCATTTTGCTCCCGTTTGCCCATTTTTGAGCCCCTTTTGCTCCGATTTTCAAAGGGCAGCCTTTTTCTCATGTTGAGCCTTTCAAGGTTCTATTTTCTTATGCCTAGCTAATCCGAGATATCCCGGGCTGCTGGGCAGCCTTCTCAACGTCCTTATTTTACTTTTCTTTCTCCCATGGCTCTCCCACTTGCTCCCACTAGTGTTTGCACTAGTGGCGCTAATATTTTCCACCGTCTAAATCCTTGATCTTGACGGTGCCGTTTGCTTACACAAATATTCCTGGTGTTCGCTCACGGTTCCCTTGGGACATCCCAAGTCCCCACTATTTTCCTTCATGCTAGCTCCATTTCCTTGTCCCGCCGGCGATCCCGCCGGCGCATGTCCTGTTTCCTGATTTTTACTATTTGGACCCATTCGGTCCCCGACAACATTCCGGACGGTGTCCCATTTTTATTTTTTTGGGGGCCCCTTGCCCTTGGTGGTCCCATCATTTCTACATGTGTGCCGATTTTTTCTAGGCCGTGAGATCTCATCTCACGGTTGCCGTTTACCGTCTTTACTTGCCCCATGCCGAAATTGCTCCTTTCTAGCCTTTCGGGCTTGCCGCAGCCCATTTCCCCTTGGCCTTGGCATCCCCATGCAATCCGTAATTTCTCGGACTGCAATCATGGCGGTTTTTTACACCCACAACCCCACAACTTGCCCCATGTTAAAAAAAAATAAAGCGTTAAATTTTATAGTGCACCAGGGCTCAATATTGGCTCCGGATGCACCTAGAACATGTGTTTTCTTTCCCACATGCAGTCCGTTGTAACTCGGACTGCAATGGGATCTGCATTTGCTACCCCGAACTGGTGAATACCGTTTCACTCCCGCCGGCCTAAATTCGAGGTCCTCCGAGAAAATTTCAGTTCAAGGCAGGACCTTTACCTTTCTGCTGTCTTTCGTAAGCCCGGACTATATCGGGAGCTGTCTTTAGAAGTTCAGATCTTGTAAACCAGCGGTCGTCTTCCGGTTCCTGATAACTAAAATGAACCTTGTATTGTTTCTGCGGACGACCCCTACCTCCAGTTCTGAAGATATCTTCAACCACTATACCATTTATGTCATATCTTCCATCCATATCAGGTGGGATCATCGATCTACGTGAGGGAAACTGATCACTTGTTTGACAAGGTAGCAGCTTCGATGCGTGGAAAACTGGATACGTGTGGAGGTGTGCTGGTAGTTCTATTGTATAGGATGGTTCGTCTTCGCCGCCCTTGACTTCCAGAACAGGCCACGGTCCTCTATATGTGGGCAGTAACTTTTGCGAGATGTTCTCCTCCGGCGCAAACTCTTTAGAACTAACCCAGACTAAGTCGCCTACTTGAAACTGTGAAGGGCGACGATGTTTGTTTGCTTGTTCTATCATCCTATGCTGGGCTTTCCTGAGGTTTTCTACAACGGTAGCTAGTTCTCTCTCGTGCTGCACAGCAAACTCCCGGGTCCCGGGCGACAATCTGTGAATCTGATYCCGGTTGAGTCCCTCAAACGGTCTGCGCGGTCTAAAGGACTTGTGCAGTTCGTTGGGAGTGCGACATGTAGACAGATGCACGCTATTATTGTACGCACTAGCTACTTTACGCAACATCTCATCCCAGTTAATCTGATCCGGCCTAATATACATGCGCAGAACTTGCTGTAGGATCTTGTTCATTTGCTCGACATCAACAACTTGGATCCATACACTCCCATGAGTTCTTGCCAGTTCTGGCTGGTGAAACGACTATCTCTGTCACGAACTATTGACAGCGGGATTCCGTTCTCACTAACCCAACAGTCAAAGAACCTCTGTACGACTAAATCAATACGCGCCTCTGAAGGCAAAGGAACAAAAACTGCGTACTTGCTGAAGCGGTCAACTATGACCATGACTTGGCTCTTGCCATGCCTGCTCTTGACTTGAGTGTCCATGAAATCGATTGACACTGAGTCTCCCGGTTGATCCGGAATGGGCAAGGGTATGAGAAGACCTAGCGGGGCGCGCGTAGAACTCTTATTACGCTGGCAGACTTTGCAACTGCGAACATACTCTACGCAGTCATTCTTCATCCCCGGCCAGGTATACGTACGCATAAGATTGGCTAAAGTCTTTTGCCAACCAAATTGACCCTCTGTGTCATGGCATTTGCCCAGAATCAGGCTACGAATCTCTTCGCTATTGGGGATGCACAGGCGGTCAGACACATTAGTCTTCGCAAAAAGCAACCCTTTGGTAGTGCGGTAATTCGGTTCAGTCTCTGGGGCTTCCTTGACTTTTGACAGGCTTGAGCTCAAAGTCATACTGATTTATCTCTGCTGCCCACCTAGTAAGCTTAGGTGTCATCTTGGCCTGGGTCTTTAACCACCGTAACGTTTCATGGTCCGAATAGACTTTGAAGTGCCTCCCAAGCAAGTAGTGCTTCCAGTGGTCTAATGCTTGCCTGAGAGCGTAGAGTTCCCTCTCATAGGTAGATGTCGCAACTTTCTCTAAAGGCATCCTAGCGGACATGAACTCTACGGGTCTATAGCCATTGCCATCGTCTTGCTGTAACACTGCGCCTATGCCGTACTGGCTAGC